ACAGAGAGGACCCCACGGGAAAGCCTGCGGTCACAGTGCCTGGCATTGACGTAGTCGTCAGGATAAAAACAGTCATGTAGTCTAGTCCCATTAGACAGATGGAGACACTGAGGTTCAGAGAGGCCGTCACTTGCCCAAAGTCATGCAGCTTTTAAGGGCCAGGCCCTGGCTGGGGGAGGGATTCCATCCATCTCAGGGGGGGCGCCCTCAGCCCTGGGCGACACGGCCCTGCATGCTCTCCTCCCGCAGGATCCTTGCCAGCTCCCACGTGCGGCGTGCTGAACAACGACACGGGAGACTGGAGTTTGACTGTGACCCCCAGTGTGGTAAGGCCAGGGGTGCAACCTCCTCGTAGCAGCCACGAAACTCATGTGTGGTGCTCTCTTACTTGGACGAGGCCCGCGGTGTCGGTGCTGGAAATACCGTCCAGCTGTGGGCTGTCAGGTCTAGCAGGCACCCATCCCGCCCGCAGGTCCTCACCCTGGGCTCGGGGCCCTTGGAAATGGTGTGTGAAACCCTGTGGGGGGGTGCATTTTCTCAGGAGAGGGGTGCCAGCTCCATCAGGTTATCGATGATTCTGTGACTCAAAAAAGCTTTCTAACCACTGACCTCATCCAACCCTTCCATTTAGCTCACGTTTGGTGGAGTGCCCAGTATGTGCAAGGCATCAGCCCTAGGGTTTGTTTATTTTTAGTTTTTAATGTATTTTTATCGATGTCAGAGAGGAAGGGAGAGGGAGCAAGAGATAGAAACATCCATGATGAGAGAGAATGATGGATCGGCTGCCTCCTGCACGCCCCACACTGGGGACTGAGTCTGCAACCCGGGCCTGTGCCCTGACCGGAATTGAACCCGGGACCCTTCAGTCTGCAGGCTGATGCTCTATCCACTGAGCCAAACCAGCCAGAGCAACTCCAGGGTTTATAGAGGATGAGACAGACTTTGCACCCCAGGTACTGTTTTCAGTACTTTTTAAAAAAAATTTAAATTTTTTTGGTGTTTTCATCTTGCGCTGCTGGGATGCTAAACTAAAACGGGGCTAGACAGACCGCGTTAATTTCCCGACCCGTGTTGAGTGTTGAGCTTCTGCGCGTGTGCGAACGCTGCTTCCTGTTATGGTCCCTGGGAGGCTGGGAATCGGGTTTGGATGTGGCCAGAGGTTGGGGGTGGGACGGAACGGAGTCAGGGCCTCTTGATGGACAGTCCTCCTCCTGTAAAGTGAGCCGAGGCGGAGGGGTGGTGGTGTGTTTTCCGGGAGGTGTTCTTACAGTCGCAGGTACTGAAGGGGACAGCGATCTGTTTCCTTCCAGAACGCGTCTGACGTGACAGTGAGGCTGAAGAGGGCTCCGTCGTCCTGTTCCTCTAACGAAACCGGCTCCTTCTCCGAGTCCCCATGCATCGTCCAGACCCTCCTGGTGTCGGCGTCCCGCAATTCGGCCTGTTTAGCACATCTGCTCATTCAAGTGGAGATTTATGCCAACTCTTCTCTGGCCCATAGTGCCTCAGGCAAGTGGAGGCTTTTTTTTTAAATCTGCACCTAAGGGTATGCTTTTATTGTGTGTGGTTTTTTTTAATTTTCTTTTTTAGAGAGAAGGGAGAGAGAGAGAGAGAGAGAAGAGAAACATTGATGTGAGAAAGAAACCTCGATTGATTGCCTCCTGTACATGCCCCAACGTGGGGGGGGGGCGGGATTTGAACCCGCAGCCCGGGCCTGTGCCCTGACAGGGGTTTGGGATGATGTTCCGACCAACTGAGCCCCACCGCCCAGGGCACTCTCTTATACCTTTTAAAAAACAGCATGACGTCATCAAACAGTAGCATAATTGATCATGAGTCAATTAATTTAAATATAAATTGGAGATCGTTCCATGTGAATACACCTAGCTTCGCCTCATAATATTCCCTTGTGTGAGTACACCGTGGCTTCCTTCAGCTGATCTCTTGGTGATGGCACGCGAGCCATTTCAGCTTTTGTTGCGGTAACTGGTGCCGACAGCAGGCGTCAGGAGGAGGTGGTCCTGTTTTCTCCCTCCCACGTGATGGCAGCGTTCTGAGGACGAAGAGGTGCTGGTGTTGACGGGTCCACGTGCATATTGTCTGACGTGTGGGTTTTTGCTGTGTCTTACGCACGGCTCACGTCGGGGACCCCTCGCTGGGAGTGTTGGGGACCAGCCACTCGGCTTTCTGTCAGCGTCAGAGCGTGGCAGTG